TCGGGCTGTGTGAGGGGCAGTATATAGCTCAGTGGTCAGAGGTGAGTGGTATTAAAGCAGGCAGGTTGTGATTCCATTGGTGGATGAGTAACACTCTTTATTCTCAACAACTCCCACTAAAGTGGCCTAATGTATGTCATAAATCTGTGACACCCAGTGCACTGTGCATTACACAAGGTATTTCCAAGAATGCATTTCAATAGAGGTGGAGCAAGACAATCTGTTTATCCAGTTGCATTCTAACCTGCACAGAGTGCACCTGCACCTTTTATTAGTGACTTATAACATTCATAACTGCAGATTACTCACTACCTTTTGATAATGGCATTTATTAATAGCTTATTACTTTTAATTAATCAGATAACATTTACAACTGCAGTCATAAGGGCTTATTGGAAGTTGAGAGGCTGAACATTTTTATTGATAAGGGATTTTTCATAATCTGACAACCCAAATGTTATTCCATTAATAGCTTCAATCTGATTGATACAGCATTACTAAATGATTTAATAACCATTAATAAAGCCATTAGTTACAACTTATAAACCTGCTATACAGGATACCTTATTAAAAATGGCACTGAAATCTGTTGAATGTTGGCAGCTCTTAAAAGCTCTAAAAAAATTAAGACTTTTCTCTATGTCATCAAAGCTAAATATCTAGATTTGATAAATTTGATAGCCATAAAAACATTTTTTTTTTTTGGCTAAAATGCTTCGTAAAGCTAAAGAGAACTGCAAAATTTGGTGATAACTGTCTGTGGCTTCATCACAGGAAGTGAACCCTTTCACAATAGTCTGCCATTTTATCAATTTCAACCAGGATAATATTGATTAGTGCAGCTTTAAAGTTGTAATCTTTACGATCTCAGACCTGGTTGATTTGGTGAGACTTGTTGTTACCATGGTAACAGCAAATGCAGTTTAATACTACAATAAAGAGTCAATGAGCAGCAACTCTGTCAGAAATATATCGTATATGCATTGTTCTTCTGTGAAATCCCTCTTTCTGAGGTAGGCAATATAAATGGCGGACTACTACTACTGCCACTACTACTACTAAAACGACTGTAGAGAGATACTTGTAAATAATGTAAATACATTGGTATGGCTATTTCAGAGACAAAAACAACCATAAATAATATTTAAAAAATGGGGTCTGTTTTTATGAAAATCTAAAGGATTATGATTTTAACAGTTACTATGAATTAAAGTTTGGACTTTATGTCTGTAAAGAACTTTTCATTTCCCTACTGTCACATTGAGCAGAGTCTCCATAGCAGACTGCCAGGCTCTGTGTGGTGCTTTCTGTAGTATGTCAGTGTTTCATTGGTGCTGTCTTTTTTGCTGAAAACATGCCGTTGCAAAATCAAGTGTCAGTAGCTGTGCAATAACCTTCCTTTTAATGTAGGCTACTGTCAAAACTGCAGCACACAGTTTAGCTCCACCAAAGCACATTTGAAACTGAATAACAGGTGCCACCAATGCTGCTGACATGCAAGTAAAACAGAAATATCTTCAAAGACGAGCTACAATCTGATGACGTTTTGTAACTTATATTTTGGCTGATTTTCACCACAGTGTAGTAACAGATTCTGGGCTTCCTTGGTGGCCAATAACACTACAATACCTACTAATAACTACCTGTGTCTTCTTCGCCTTTTCACACTTCAGGTAAACTGATGAAAACTCCTGATGAAGGATTTTCATTGGCAAACTGCAGGAGCAAAGTGAGCTGCATTATATTCAATTCCAGCTCTCGCTCCCCATAAGGACAGCATGGAAAGTTGCCAGTGCATGAGGGTTGAGGTAGAAATGGGAGAGGAGCTTCTGGTTGCATACCGATCAGCAGCGCTGTCAACTCTGTTTCAAATATTTTTTAGCTGGTCTAAACGTTGCTGTCATTAGATTATATAACATTTTGCTAATTTGCCTGTACTGCATATACATGACATATGCTAATTTGCATTTATGTCTCACTCATCCAGACCAATCAGCCTAATCAAGAGTAGCTTTAGTCAAATGGGCACCGGAAAATGCACACTTATGCCTCCCCACTAGCTCATTCTGAATGATCAGTATCTGTCATTTCCAACTGTCTTCTCAGAGTAAACCAGGAACTGATCAGTTCAAGCATTGCTAAAGACTGAACATGAGGGAAAGTGATCATCAGTGATTCATACAAAGGGCCAAAAGCAGCCATCAGTGGCAGCTGCACAGAAGACCGGAACTAAATGGAGGAGAAATTAGTCTCGCTAAATGAGACAATAATGAATTTCAGTCACATCTTTCACACTGCATTGAGCACATTGGTACATTGTACCAGTTTAAACAATATCCATCAATCTATTCTCTACACTCTTTAACCTCTGGGAACTGGACCATATCCCTGGATGAAATACACAGGTAACCAATCAATTGCAGGGCCAATACATACTGTCATTCATGACAACTGTATTGGGACATACTTTATGAGCAAGTTAGAGCTTTCAAATTTACTTGGACCATGGACCACTTATGCACAGCTGAACCAGCTATTTGTTGTTTATTATTGTTAATTGTTTCAAACTAGTGATTTTCTAAACGGTTAACAAAATTCATGACTTGGTTCATATCATGGTTTTTGGGTCTGTTCGGTAAATTTTTTATTTGTCAAAAAAAAGTTGCCTTAACAAACTTCTGACCCAAACCCATGACTAGTGAACCAAACCGTTTGGATTTTTAACTTGAACTTGAACTGTTCCATCCCGAGCCCAGATTGAAGTATCTCAACTACTGCTGAATGGATTGTGATGGATTGAGATTTTGCATTTACATTCACAGTCCCCAGAGGATAATTTCTGACTTTTCTCCAGCTCCAACAGCAGGTTGACATTTTAGGTTTTTAGTAAAATATTTAACTAACTATTGGATGAATTGTTGTGAAATTTGGTACAGCTATTCATGGTGCCCAGAGGATGAATCCTAATGACTTGGTGATCTGCTGACTTTCCCTCTAGTGCCACCAGCAGGTGAGAGTTTTGACTTCTTTGAATTCTGTGAAATATCTCCTCATACAGGACTGATTGGCACATGAGAAGAAACATTCATTCACTTGCTCTATTTGCCAAAAATTATTTCTTGTCTAGCAACTAATGGGAACTCTTCAGCTTGCCCAGGAGGTGGTGAATGAAAATTAAGTGCCTGAACAGCAGTGAAAGATGGCTGCGAGTGATGGGTCACAGCGGGTGAATCTCTTCCTCACTTCCACCACCATCATCCTCGACATTTTCTGAAATTCTGAAATACCTTTTCCAACCACAGCCACAATTAGCCTGATGCTGTCATTGTGAATTTAATGCGTCTCTACTGGGTTTTTAATAAAGACATATGTGTGCATGAACAAGGGTCACAGGAAGATTTCTACATCAAAAAAATTTGGAAAAGGTCACGTTCAAGGCTTCTCTTACTGAAAAAGATATATACAGAGGGATTACAGGCCATTCTCGTGACACAGATGCAGACATAATAAGCTTCAGGCAGGATGGATACAGCTTTATGTATAGTCACAGACACACACACACAC